CTGCAGGCTGCCTTCCCTAGCTGAGCTGCTCCATGGGTGGCCCCTGCAGGCCTTGATGAGAGCTATCCCCTGGCACGGCTGGCAGGGCATGGGCCCACCTGTGTCCTGGCCAGGCCTGCCATGCAGAAAGTACCAGCACTACCATGGAGGGAAGGACTGTGTGCTGCTTCAGGGCTGTGGGTGAGACAAAAGACCTGAACGTGGGGTATCTGAGCCCTGCTTGTCTGCTGGTGGCCTGGTTTCTGAGAAGGGGCAGATGGGAACCAGAATCTGTTTGCTAAAAAGAAAAGAAGGAGCTGGGCATGGTGGCACACACCAGCAAGTTCAAGGCCAGCCTGAATATATAGCGAGACTCTGTCTCAAAAAATGAAAGAAGGAAGGAAGGGAAAAAAGAAAAGGAGAGAGGAAAAAAACATAAGAACAAAGACGTCTGCTGGGGACATAGATCCCTGGCAAAGCTGCTTGCCTGGAGCCCTGGGGAGCTCTCAGGAGAGGCTCATCCTCCTGCAGAGCAGAAAAGGGACAAAGGGGAGGCCAGAGCCACTTTGCAGATCAGAGGAAGGCAGGTGGAGGGCTCCCCAACAGCAGGAATGGTGAGGGGCGCAGAGGTGGACAGAGCTGTCCATCAGCCAGCTGTGCAGCAGAGGGAGGTGCCCTGGTCCCTGCCTGGGAACCCCTGCTGTCTCCCAGGGCCTCCCTGCCTGGCACCCACTGTCTGCATCACCCGGGTTAGTCTGCATTGTCCCCGAGAGGACGACCTCTGAACCCGCCCAGGCTGTGTTTAACTGTCCTCGTCTTCTGCAGCAGGAAGCCAGGCCCAGTGCTGAAAGAGGGCAGGGTCTGGCCATTTGTGTTTTAGAGAAATCTGCTGCATGGCAAGCATGGATTGGGAGAGGGTGGTTATAGTGGGTGTTGGAGTCCTCAAAAGAAATGAGGGGCAGGTAAAGAGCTCAGTAGAGATCAGAAGGCCGGCTGGGACCACACGTGGTCCCCAGGAGGCTGCTTCCTCTCCTGTGGGTCTCTTGCTCTTCCTTCCTCTGGAGCTGTTGGTTCTCAGGCAGTGGCAGACAGATGACAACATGCTGGCCCTCCTGCCCTGCATGCTGCAGGCGTCACCACTCTGTTCCTTTTCCAGTTCCTAGGGCCAGCAAAGGCTGAGCATGGCTTGGATTGGATTTCTCATCAGAGACTGAGAAGCTAGGGGCCTCGCTCACCTCCATCAGGTGCTCCTGAAGTGACATGGCGGGTAGGGAACAGCAGCATGAAACTAGGGTGTCCTGGAGGAGGAGGCATCCACAAGCTCTGCTCCTGGAACACAGACACCTAGAGGTCAGCATGGCCCAGCGGTCCCCAGCATGGACCACACTGCAGCTCTGCTGCCTACTGGCTCTTCTGGGCCGGCTGATCATTAAATCTCTAAACACAAGTGTCGGGACCGACATGCAAGTCTAGTGAGGGTTAAATAAGGTCACACATGAAAGACGAAGGCTGTGTGGGACAGAAGATGTGCTCCGTAAATATCCGTCACCAGACCCTCCGTTTTGTTTCCTCCCAGCCAGCCCTTTCATCTTCACTTCCTTCCCGTTCCTCCTCAGACTCTGCAGCTCTGTCTCTTGCCCTTGCTACCCTCACCCTGTCTCTGCTCTCCTGCCCTGTTGCATATTTCTCGAATCTTCCTTCGCACGTGGCTCTGGACGCCTGACCTCCGCGCCGTGTCTGGTGGTTAGAAAGATCCAGGGCCTGCAGAGGCTGCAGTGACCAGATCCTGTGTGCTCTGGCTGCGCCCTGCTCCTGCCTGGCAGTCCTCACACTCTTCCCTGGTTGACTCTGTTTTTCCTTTTTTAAAACTGTTCAGAAAAATTAGAATTTTATTGGGTAAAAGCTCAGGACATTTACTATTGTTATTCCTATTTTTCTAAGAAACAATTTCAAGCCATCGTCACTTCATACCCCTGCTTCTTCCCCGCCAGACTCTGCGGGAGGCAGTGTCAGGAAGGAGCGAGACTCATACAAGGACGCTGCGATCCCTCGGCCCATCCTTCCTCCTCCTCGCATCGCCATGGCAGTTGCTTCTCCCCCAGCTGCCTCCTTCAGATCTGCTCCTCGCTGTCCCGCGGCCTCTTAGCCCGTCCTGTGCCATTTCATTGTGTCACCTCTTCCCCCATGTCTGATTTTCCAGGAGAACTGAGTGTGCTGTGGTCCCCGCCTCACCTTCTCCTCATTCTTCACGCTGTCACCTCCTGATCTGCGCTCCGGCACTGCCCGAGTCCCTTCTGCTACATCTCCACCTCGGATGCGTGGTCCTCCCTCACTACCGGCTGAAAGCTCTCACCGCCAGTTTGCATTCTTCCCTCCTAACCTCCCTCCCTCCTCTCTCCCTCCATCCCTCCTTCTGTCTCTGTGCAGGGCTTGAACCCAGGCCAGCACTCACCAGGCAAGGGCTCTGCCTCTGAGCCACATCTGCGGCCCTATTTCTTCCTCTTTTTCTCTTTTTAATCTTTTAAGGCACACTTTATGGCAGTTTTTGTTACTTGCAGTCAGGTGCGTTCTAACTGATACTTTCCCGCCTATGAAATGTAAATGTCGTAATGCATTTCATTAAAGCCTGTTACTTTTACAGAATATGGGGTTTCCTGTGGTATTCTCGTAAGTGCATATAGCATGTGCTGGTCATGCTCATCCCCCGTGCCTTTCCTTTTGTCTAATAAGTCTCCCTTCTACCTTCGTGCCATCTTTTTTATTACTATTACTCCACATACGAGGGAAAACATGGTGCTTGTCCTTTCGAGTCTGGCCTGTTTCACATAGCATGACGACCTTCAGTTGCATCAGCCTTCCTGCGCTGCCGCTGTTTCATTGTTCTTCATGACCAAACCCGCTCCTTCCCCGAGGTGCTTCCACCTTTTGCTCCAAACCGCAGGGCTCCCCTGTCCCGTTCCGTTTCATTTCTGTTCATCCCCGCTTTTCCCCACCATGCCTGATTTCCCCGTGCTCAGTCCCTACTGCCTGTTCTTCCATCCCCTCCGCTGGCGGCTTCGCAGACGCTCGGTCCCAGCCGTCTCGCGCTGCTCTGCTCACCAGTCTGCTGCGTGCAAGGCTCCGTGCTGCTGATCGCGGAGACAGGGTGAGGGTCTGGGTCAGAGTTCCAGTTCAGACTGGTGTGGACAAGTTACTAGCCTTCCCAGCCCCGAGCGCCTCATCTGTGAGAAGGAAACAGCGGTTCCTAGTTCAAATGGTTGTCATCGGGGTGAAGGACAGCCTCCTCTCGGTGGGCATTTCTGATTTCCAGTCATAAATTCATGACTTCAAACTTGGAACTAAAGGATGTGAAAATTTCTAAGTTGTGTTTACTTTTAAAATGGACAGAAGCAATAAAGGCCTGACCTCAGCTACAAAAAGAGAAGTGTAGCTGTAATTAATAGTTGGTTTTGTTGTTTTCGTTGTTTTTAACTGAAAGAACTGGGAACAGCCGAGCCGTGCTCTGCAGGGAAAGCACGCCTTTCACTTGAAGCTCCTTTCTCCATGATGGTAGAGAAAGGCTTGTTTCTGTTTTTGAGTGTTTGTGTGGGTCAGTGAGAGGACAGACTATTCCTGAGCTCGCTTCCCTCTGAGGAAGAGAGATGTCATCCAGCCTCTAATGATGCAGATCAGTAGCTGTGTTAATAGACCTGCAGTTTAAAGAAAATCACCACGCTGTACCCTAACGTGCAGTTCATTTTGGTTAGAATTTCCCTGGTGATTTAAAAGCCCAGTGAATTTGTAAATACAATAATGGCCTCCGCATTTTGGAAACGTTAAAGCTGCCATCACCCGCCGGGCTCTACATCACCCCTGAGCACCCCTACCTCAGGCCAGGGAGGAAACCGGGGCTGCGCTACCAGACGTTGGGGGCAAAGGTGTCCAGAATCAAGCTGGGGTTCCCTGCCCCTGCCCGGGCTCGGTCTTCCCTCTCAGCAGTTCCAGTCCAACACGGAGCTGTCCTTAATCTCCCCCTCCTGGCCTCCCTCCTCTCAGCCCCAGGTCCATCAGCACTCCAACTGGCCCAACTTCTGACATTTTACGTCCGTAGCTCCCACTGTCCCCTTGTCTCCTCTGCCCTGCAGGCTGCTGCCGTCTGCATGGTAGCCAAGAAGTCTCCAAGACAGCCCCGATCACACTGCCCTCCCCGTGCTTAAAGCTCATCAGAAACCTTCCTGTTCCGTTAAGCTAAAGGCCAGAATTCCCAGTGTGGCCAGGAAGGTCCTGTGTGTCCCGCCTGGCCTCCCTCCCCGGTGTCTCTGCCCCCCATGTCCCCGTATCTGTTGGGGTCTGGGTCATGAGCCATCCTTGCACTGTTGCAAGTCCTGCCTGGGCCCTGTGCTCTCTGCCCGCATGGCCATGTTGCCCTTCTCCTTCCCACATCCCCATCCCACTAGGGCAGCTTCTTTTCTTTCATAGGAACATGGATTTTTTTTCTCTGCTTCACAGAACCTGCTGCTCTCCCTCCCCCTGAAGTATTGGAGATTGGGGCTCACACATGCTAGGCAGCCGCTCTGCCAATGAGCTATACTCTAGCCCCTTCTATTTTATTTTTAGACAGGGTCTCACTAAGTTGCCCAAGCTGGCCTGAGACCTGAGATCCTCCTGCCTCAGCCTCCTGATTAGCTGGAATCCTAGGTGTGTGTCCCCCACCCCGCCACAGAACCTTAATGTGAAGTTGTACATTTCTGTGTACGTTTCTCGGTGTGGTGCTTTGACTGTTGCCTGGCTCCTCCACCAGAAAGCTCCGTGAAGGTGACCCCTCCTGAGGCACAAAGCGGGCGCTTCCCAGATGCTGGCGTGCGCCAAATGAACACTCAGGGCCTTGATGATGCCCCCACCCCCGGCACAGGGGGCCTCATCTCCACGCACACCTGGCAGAAGAGGCTGACTTTGCTTGATTACTCTCTTCCGTCCCCACTATTGGAGCAAATGAGTCTGCTGCCCGAAACTCACCTGTTCCCTCTGCTTTCTCCATTCAGCTCAAGCTGGCTTTCACTCTGGACTGTGAGACTGGGCTGCCCCAAGGCTGTCACATCTACGAGTACCGCGACAGCAACAAGTAAGTGGCACGATGCCTGATACCGGCTTCCCTTAGAAACGGGTGCTCTCGCGCTTCTCGCCACTCTGCTAGAAAACAGCTACCACAAAGGTGTCTATTGTTTTTGCTCCTGCACATGGCACTGGAAGAACTTGAGTAGGTAGGAGAAGTTGTGAGGTGTTAGAAGTATTTTTTTGAGATGAGGTCTCACTATGTAGTTTAGACTAGGCTCGAACTCGGGCACTCCTCCTGCCTGCGTCTCAGCCTCTGCACACTGGGTTACAGGCGTGCCCACCACACTCGGCTGATAAATCCATCTGAGCACAGGCCTCCTCTCCGTGCTCCACTGTCCTCCAGAGCGCAAGCTGCCTCTCCCTGCCTCTGACCGTTGTGTGCTGTCATCCGATTGACTGATGCTGCCCGTGCTGCGCTGTGCTCGCGGAAGTGGCCCTCACGAGCTGTGCTGTCGTCATCCAACTGTGGGTGTGGGGTTGGCAGGGTCCCTCTGGGGACCCCCAGGTTGCTGAAGTGGTGGCCCTGTTGGAAGGGTCCTCACAGTGCCCTTCTCCCTTCTCACAGACGCCTGCTGCCCGGGCTGGGTGATGTTCCTGTGGCAGGGACAGTGGTGGCCAGGGAGGCAGGGGCTGTCTGTCCCGATGGTGGGCATAGTCCTGGAGACGTCAGTGTCGCCCCTCAAGCTCTCACACACATCCCGCAGATTTCTTTCCTTCTTTGTTTCCAGAAGCCGAGGCCAGGCTCGCTCCAGGGTGGCGTGGCTCTGAACAGCAGCGTGTACGTCAGTGCAGTTGTGCTGTGGGTGGAAGGCAGTTGTCCCAAGTGGCCACTCTGGGAAACCCCAGTCAGTGATGAGGGCCCAAGTTAAACCTGGTGTGGTGGTGCACACTTGGAATCCCAGCATTTGGGGCCATGAGACGGGAGGATCGCAAGTTCAAACCCAGCCTGGGCAGCTCAGTGACTTGGTCACACCCCATGTCAAAACAAAAAGTTGTTTTAAAGGGCTGGAAATGTAGCTCAGTGTGAAGGCCCTGTGCTCAATCCCAGTACCACAAACAAACAAATATCCAAGCCACTTATTTTTATCTGGAGCCTTACTGCTTGCGGAGAAGCCCGTGTCTTCCCCAGAGCTCTTGCTCCGTTGTGGATAGAAGATGGGTCTCCATGCGGATTGCCTTGAGGTGCCGGTGCTCTCTGTGGTCGTTTCTAGCCAGACGCTGTAGTGAGCAGGCCATTCTCCGACTCCCACCACGGACCCTGGGCGCCGTCCCGCTCACTCGTGCTCACCTTTGCATCTGTCCTGGGGCTCATTCTCAGTCTTAACCTCCCTGGGCCTCGGTTTCTTTGGCTGTCCAAACTAGCAAGACAGTAGCTCCCCCTGGGCAGGGGCATCGTGCTGAAGGTCACCCACAGTGAGTGCGGGTGCCGCTCCTTCCTCACAGAGCCGCGGGCTCAGAGCCCCCTGTCATCCCCATGCCTGCAGCTAGCAGTGAGAGGGTGGGGGGCACTGCTTCGCTTCCCCGCGCCCGTGGGCCTGACCGGGACATCTCCCCTCCCCAGCTCACCCCAGCTGGCTCCTCTGTTCGCTTTTGGTGCCGTCTCCCCTCTAACGCCTGCCCATGTGGAGGGAGGGTGGCTCTGGAAGGGAGCACTCTTGGCCAGGCCTAAGTGTGCTATGAGGCCCAGCCAGGTACTGTGAGGGCAGCAGCATCTGCGAGCAGATTGGAAGAAACTCACCTGGACGTTAGTTTAGTTCAGCTCATTGCTGAAGGCGCTGCTTTTGTCTCCTTGCTCTCCCCTGAAATACAGTTCGTAATCATTTTAGTATCTGTCTACAAGAGTGTTGTTCTGACTGAGTTCTCCCAAGCGCCCTTCCCTTTCTGGTGGAAGGGTCCTCAGCTGGGCCCTGTGCTTTTGTCTCTTGGTATCTAAGGGAGTCGATTCCAGGAGTCTTCAGGTGCTCGGGAGCCTCGTGTTAGTGGTATGGTGTTTGCATGTAGTCTCTCCACATCTCTGTGTGCTCTGCAAATCGTCTCCAGATGATTGTAGCGCCTAATACAATGTAGATGCCATGAAAAGATTTTTTACACTGTATTGTTGGGGATTGTCTGGTTTGTTTCGATTTCTAGACAGGGTCTCACTACGTAGCCCAGGCTGGCCTCTAACTCACAATGATCCTCCTGCCTCAGCCTCCTCAGTGCTGGTATTACAAGCCTGTGCCACCATGCCTGGATAACTGGGAATAATGACAAGAAAAATTTGTTACAATCAGCATATGAGAGACCACCCAGACACAGGCTTTCTATGAGAAAGGCTGGATTTATTCTGTCTGGATGCAGACAAGGCTAAGATTCTGAACGATTTGAGTAGCTAGCTGGGAGAAAAATTAAGTTTCTCTCAGTCCTGAGGAAGGAATGTAACCCTGAGGAGTCCTGAGAGGAATGTTTATGATTGAAGGTCCAAAGCTAGTCAGCACAGGTGTGCATGTAATGCTGGCTTCCTTGGCACTAGGGAGACTGTATACTCCGTCCTAAATTTTCTTGTAATTACTTTTTTTTTTTTTTTTTTTT